TTATTTATGTGACTTTGTGAAGCCCACTATGATAGCGTGGGTGGAATCTGTTATATGTTGAGATCCAGTGTTGCTTGTTCAATTTTAAAGGGATGTTTTCTTCTGGAGCGGCGGGGAGTGCTGCTTCACAGTGGGTAAGCACAGATCAGATGACCTAACGCAGTCCTTTCCTCCTGCAGTGCTTGGATCTGTTAACCCCCGAGCACCTCCCTGGGGAAAGAAGGCCTTGATCCCACAGGTTTCTAGGTCAAGATCTGGCACTCTGAGGGAATACTCCACTCTTCCATCTTTCTGGAATAAGTGCGTGAATGGACTTTTAATTGCTAATAGACACCTTTTGGTGCTTGCAGGTGGCCTTCCTACAGCACTGGGAGACTGCCAGGTGCTCTGCCTGGAGCCACCTAATAAACTGGGGAAAGTGTGTCATCCTCTCTGCATTCGGGGTGGGGGGAGTTGTGTTCTCCAAGACTTTCTTCTCCCTTCCTTTGTAAAATGTGGATGGCTGGGCGCTGCTGGGAATCCTGTCCCAGCCAGGACATGGAGCAGAGGCAGAATAAGGCGCTGCTGCAGCTCTCACTCAGGAAGGAGCAAGGAGGAACTCTGGCAGCTCTGTGCGGAGGTGAAGGGAAATGTGCAGTGCGTATGTGCTGCAAGAATAGCTCATGCTTGTTCCTGTGGGAAGCTGCATAATGATACTTGGGAGCAAGGATTTGTGCAGAGGTAAATGCTGTCATGTTTGGTCACAGGTTGTCACCGGTAAGCTCTGTGCTACAGGGCCTGTTCAGAGGAACTTTGCTGCTTGGGAGTGCTGGGCTGATCCCTTGGTCAGTGAGCAGGCAGGGCACAGCCAGTGGAATGTGTGTGCTGGCCTTCAGAGGACAGTGATCTGGGGCATTTCCCTCTGAGTCTTTTTAGAGTGTCTTAAATTTCGTGTACCAATGTGAACCCAGTGCTGCATCTGCGTATTGGCTTGGGAAGGGAAGCGTGTGTTTATGAAGGCAGAGATACACTGTGCCAGTTCTGGGAGGAGAGGAGTTCTTACATGTGTGAGAGTTTCTTTCCAGAGAGCTGGTTTTCTTAGCAGAGGTGGTAAAGAGATTGTGCAGAATGCTGCGGGAAGGCTTCCTCAAATAGCATCCTGCTGCTTCCCGCTCTGCCTGGCTCCCAGGGCACTCCTGTAAACTGTTTTAGGCCATTTGGATTGCTCTATCTATGCTGGGTGAGACTGACTTACCTTCAGCTGTTTGAAGAAACAAATATGGTGAAAAAGATGTGATTTTTTTTTTTGAAATATGAGTATTTCTTGGATTGGAAAAACCCTGAACTTCTCTCCCGAGAGCTTTATTTGTGAATGGTTTTCATGTCTGTCTTTAGCAGTAACAAACAAGCGAGTGTTCTGGCTGTTGTGGTAACCTCATGTTACACCATCACTGCCTTTATCCCTCACTCGGATTGCACATCTCATGACTGTCGGAGTAGAAGAGGGCTTGTGAAAGAATAAATTTATCTAGTATCATGAACAGTCTTGAAACTGTGGCTAGTCCTTATCCTTCACTAATTCCTAGCAGACAAATTCACATACCTCCCCATCCTCTCTGCCGATGAGCTTTAGTATTTACCTAATACAGCCTAATTAAACAAGAAATTCTTTTTGGTCATTTGATTGGCGTTTAAATAACAGTGAAAGCGTGAATCATTTGCTTTGGAGAAAGGGATTTGAGAAGACTGAGAAACCTCTCCATGTTTTAGGAGGTGTTTCAGCTGGGACTTTTTCCTGCCAGTTCAAAAGGATCCTGTTTTAGGACTAGATGAGAGAAAGGTCTTTTCTTCTGCCCTGGAATCTCTGATGCATCTTTCCCTTGCAGAATTGAGTCTCCTTGTGTTGGCATTATTTCTTAATCACTGTACTGGGCCCAGTGTCAGGTTAGGTGGCTCTGTCTCTGCTGGTGCACCAGCTCTGCACTCTGGTTCTGCTGCTGTGTCAGATATTTAACCTTAAATGCTGCCAGAGCCATTTATTTGAGCAGGCTTCTCTTGCTGTCGCGGCCTGCTGTGTGGTAGGTTCCTTGCAGCTTGAGCAATACTGGAAGGGCTTTGCTGCTTGACCATTTCCAAGATATTTGCAGAGGCAAAGACCATCTATGTGACATCTGGGTGGGATGACTCTTGGTTAACCATGTGGAACGACGGCTCAAATGGCTGTTCTTCTTGCTGCCCAGATCCAGGCATTGTGTATTTAGTGGTCCCCATCTCCATGATCTGGATCTTTCTACTACGTTTCCCTCTTCCTGCTGCTGCTCTTTTCTTGCTTCCCTGTAGAGTGCTTCTGTAGTGGGAGAGCTGCTCCTGGATCGCAGAGTTTGAACTGCAGCTGCCAGATGTCCCTTGTATTTGGAATTTCTGTTGGTTTAACAGTAGCAACAGGATGCAAGTCCTTGATTGTGACTTGGCAGTAAGTAAAGACAAGATGACGTTTTTGGTGCTGTGGGGAAAAAAACCCCTTGCTTTCAGTTAGAAGTGACCAGGAGAGTTATCAAGAAAAAATTTGGACATTGAATATGGATCTCTTTTCCCTCTTTGACATATTTCCCTGTGTAGAAAGCAGAGGGTGTTTTAGTACAGCCGAGACCTGACCTCTTTCATTGCTTCCTTAAATACTGCAGGACTAGTTGATCGGAAACAAACTTCCTTAGGGATATTGCCTTGGTGCTCTCTAGAATGGCTTTCCCTATACCTGGTGACTGCCTTCCTGGCTTCCTAAATGCCTTTGAAGGATAAATTGTGATCTCTTGTGCAAACCTGGTGAGGTACGTTCTCCTTAGCATCCCAGGCGGATGGGTAATGGATCTGTACTCTCCTCTGTTGTAGGACGTGGATCCTCATTGTATTCATGGAGTACTGCTTCTGGTTGAAAGAGATCTGACGTTTCGGATGGAGAAGCCACCAGCAGGACAGGTAATGGAAGCATTCATCCAGGGGCTGCTGGGGGCTCTTGCTTATCCTTTGTTTAACTCCCCAGACAGCACGTTCTCTGCCTACTGATGTATGTTTATTCTCTGTAGTTGTTCTCTGCGTTTTATGGTTGTGGTCTCTTGTGGGTGTTGTATTTATAGGGTTGTAAAGTGTGAGCTGAACATCTCTGGCATGCTGTGTTTATTGCCAAGGCCATCAGTGACACTTGTGCCATAATTATGTCAGTCTGCTGCGGCCCTCGAGATGCAGGGGCTTTGGGAACATGGATAGCTGTACGGAGGAGCCCTGCACAATTTACAGTAATAGAGATGCTTTTCATGTTCTCTGGTTAGCAAGGGTGGAAAGAGTTCACATTAGGCTAAATCCTGAACCCATCCTTTGAAGGTGCCTTCCTGTATTTTGCTTGCCTCATGTTTCCTCTCCTCATAACTGCTGCTGCCGGTGGCTAAGACTTCTGCAAGAGGGAGAAGAAGAGATGTGTATGTGTGTGAGGTTCCCTTTGCAGCTCAGATGTCTGGGAAGACTAACAGGAGGTGCTGATGGGGAGGGAAAATCATCACAGCATCACTGAACACCCCCACTAGAAATGCCTTGGTATTCCATAGCTGTGTAAGAGCTGTGGGCTCTCGGCCCCTCTGTGGTGAGTGAATAGAGCATTGGACTGTGTCTTAGCCATCTCTCTGCTTTAAGACTGTTAAAAGCTTCAAGAGTGGACTGAAGCCCTGTAGACTTCAGAGTGGGGCCTCCCTTTTGGCTCCTGCGGATGAAGATAATGGGAATAGCACTAGTTTTGCTGTGTGTGGTGTGCTGCCTTGAAAGGCTAAAGAGAACAATCCGGTCAGTCCGCTTCCTTGTTGCCCCACGTAGAAGAATTTGAAGTGAGAAAGGGAGAGCTACAGAAGACATCAAACACATTGTACAAATCCAAAGTGTGTAGAGGGGAACAGAGCAAAGGCTAACAAAGACATGGGCATGCAGGAGGAATTGGGAGCATCAGTGCTATTTTGTAAGGAGGTGGGGGCATTAAATGTCTTCTCCTGAGTTCCTGGTGTCTGGGCTGGCTTCCATGTACCGGGAGGAGCACTTGCTGTTTCTCTGGTGAGTATAAAAATGCTCTGGGGTCCTACAGACTCACAGAAGGCAAGTTGTCTGTGTCAAGATGCAGGAAACATTTGGACCAAATAGCTGCTGTGATGAAGGGAGAGTTGAGGGTAGGGCAGAGGCTGCTCTATTAGACTGTTTTTCCAGGAATTGAGATGGGGAAGCTGGGGGCTGGGCTTAACCTCTCAGACTCTCCAAACAAATGCAAATTGCAGAACAACGTGGGAAAATATGAGGGAGTTGCTCTGCTCATACTGGGAGGTACTGGCTCGGGACAAGGCTGGTTGCTGCCAGACTTCCAGCACAGATGTGCTGCTTGGTGAAGCAGCGTGTTGTGGCCTGCATTCCCTCAAGGTTCACCCACTGAGCTGTACAGCAAGCTGCTCTAAGAGTGAATTGATGGCTTTTTTTCCCCTTCATGCTGTCGTTTTACTGCAGATACACACCTTGTGCCTTCTTCCTATGCAACATAGATAAATAAAAGATGCTGTCCTTCATTAACCTTCCCCTCCTCCTCCAATACTCACGCCCTAATGCAAATGTGCTTTTATTTCTTCTATTCCTGTGCAGTTTGAACTTCTCACCTCCATGAAATCCCTCCATAAGCACATAGACAGCTCACAGCTGCCTCTAGAACTGGATGGGACCTTCCCTTATTGCCACCGGGACTGGTTAAGCTTCCGCATGGTGAGTAGGATGTCTTGTGTTTTTTGGTATCTGGGAGAAAAAGTGGCATGGTAACGGAGCTGAAGGAAGAGAAGCTTGTCAGCCCTGAATCTACAAGCATTAAAAGACAATGGTTCCTATAATAGCTGTGTATGCAGATGAATCTCTCGTCAAAAGAATGCTAACACTGTGTTCATGAGATGCATGCACACTGCGACCTATTGGCATGACTGGAGGAATGAAAATTTTAGTTTTTAACTCATTTGCTTGAACTTCATTAATTCAGATTTGACCATATTTTGAAGGGAAAGAAGAAACAATCTGTTTTCCTGAGGCTTAAGGGCAGACACTTGTGTGCTAATCTCAGGAGAAGGCGTTAGGATCGTGTTGTCTTTGAGCTAACAATCAAGAACTCGAGCGTAATAAAAATAGTTATTCCAGAATACTCAGTGGTCTTTTGGCTGTGATGTCAGTGCCCAGAGTGCTGTGTGGTACGCGTTGTCATCGATAATAGCAGTGTGGTGCTGGTGGCAAGCTTTGTCAGTTAGGCTTGGCACGTGCCAAATGTTAACTTAACCTTTCCAACTTATTTTAGAACCCGTTTTTTCAAAACCTGCACCTAAAAGTACTCGTATGAACCTGTGCTGATGCAGTAGAGGTGCAGAAGCCCAGGCTTGGTGCCTGGGGTTGAATTTGAGATTTATTTGGTGGTGAGGAAGGGGAGAAGCTTTGCAAGAGGTTATGGATTTGTTTTCTGGACAGACTAAGAAAAGCTTGAGAGCTGTGATGCTCAGTCCATACAGAAGGATAACTCTTGAAGGAAAG